GATCGTGATCTACGACCCTTATCTGGGGTCCGTTTCTCCGATGTATTGGGTCAGGAGATGGGGGAACGGGGGTTGTTGATTCTGTCCATGACGCTATTCCCAAGCTTGCTGACGATGGTTGATGGGGAAAGGGTCTTGTCGTTTTCTTTGTCTGCCGGCTTTCAGGGCTTGGATGTTTGGACCCTGCAGTTGTATGGAAACGAACGGGAATGATACGGGGTTGTAAGGCTGTTAGGGCTCGGTTTCCGTCACCGCGCGGGACTCATATTGCAGAAAATGGTTTCGCCCCTTTCCACCCCTTTTTCACGGGCAGGGCTACCTAGGCAGTTGAAGGGGTCGGATGTTAACAACGGATAGCTTATTCCGGATGTTTGAGGCATCACCGGACCGGACCGGACTGGGGCAGAGTCTGCTGGCGCTATTCAGGGCTTGGGACGCCCCATCGTTTACTTCTTTCCGCATTTTTGTCTTTCTTTCAGAAAGAGTTTTGGAGTTGGTGTTGAGGCAACAGTTTGGATACGCTGTTCTCTCTATCATAGGTGTAATGTTTGGAGCTAAGCAGCATGAAAAGCGGGTTTAGCTCAGTTGGGAGAGCGTCAGACTGAAGTCCACTTCAATCATTAATCTGAAGGTCATGTGTTCGATCCACATAAACCGCATCATCTTTTGCACTTTTCTTCTCCCTGGTTCTTTCTGCAATTATACTGAATGGTGTCCCTTTTTTGCATGTGAGATAGATTGATGTAGTGTGTGTATAAGTCGTGGGGGTAAGTAAGTAAGTAAGTAAGGGTGGCTGGTTATTGGTGTTGGGTAGGGGCGACCCAACGACCCGACCTGGCTGTGCTGAAAGTAGTCGTTTCATCATCTTTTTGAAAAAATACTCCCACGATCGTTCGATTCAGTAAGATGGCAAGCAACATGTCAAAACTACCAGGGGACCGCTTATACACACATTTGCATGATTTGTCCGAGTTGAGACTCGGTTGCTTCGGGGAGCAGCGGGAAAACCCCATATTGGAACCTGCGATATTCGGACACCGGCCAGACAAAACATCAGAAGCAGACACGTTCCCCAAGACCGATGTTGCAAAATGGGCATCAAGCAAGAAGACACCTTTCAGGAAAGACTCACCTGGGACACTTTATCGGCCTATTGTCGATCCCTATGAAATCCGGGTACTGGAAATCAAACCAGGCAGCAACGATGACCTGATATGTTGCGCCTTGCATCATTGCTCGCTGGAGTTCAAAGAGCCCCCACGGAAGTTGACACGCAACTTGGAGCTTCTGGAGTCGGGGCCCGCTACCGTCCCCCAAACCAAATTTGGTCTGTTGATGAACGACTTGACGGTACCAATCTGGTACACTGCTCTCAGCTACACATGGGGACCCGCTGTCTTTGATATGCCCATCACGGTCGATGGGTACGAGAAGCTCATTACCAAGTCACTGTACGGCGCTCTTCAACACTTACGGCAGCCAGGACACTCTGTGGTTCTGTGGATAGATCAGATCTGCATCGACCAGAAAAACAACGACGAAAAGGCTCAACAGATCCCTCTTATGTCGATAATCTACACCCGTGCTGTCAACACAATTGTTTGGCTTGGAGAAGGAGACGCAAACCTGGCAGATGCATTCGACTTTCTGAATGAGGTTCCCGACTTGATCCTCCATGCCTCGGCGATTCGATGTCCTGAGGATTTTACAAGACTATGTTTACCGGTTCCAGAAGCGACAACCTGGGCAGGGGTATGGGATCTGATTACACGACCGTGGTTCCAGAGATTATGGATTTACCAGGAGGTGATCCTGTCTCAAGACATTACCATTGCCTGTGGCGGCGAGCACAAAGCCAGGACAAGGATAAACTGGGACGTCTTTACCAGCGCCTGCCTTGTTCTCCAAGAGAGCGGTGTTGCTCAATGGCTCAATCTCAAATTCCCGGGCCCTGATCCGTTCACGCAGATTCTGAGGCTCTTCTCCGATCGTCAAGGGTATCCAGCAACAAAAGAACCTTGGCCGGAGCAGTGGCTAATCAGTCCGGCTTTGAGGAGCGCTCGACAATCGCTTTGTTACGACCCGCGAGACAAGATCTACGGTTTGCTGGGAATGATTGAGATCGAGAACAACTGGATCAAGATTAGCTACCACGACAGTTACAAATACTCGAATCTGTACCACGATGTGGTGGTCGGCTTGCTGAAGCGAAACACTGCGCCGCTCAAGTCTATGCTTAACTCGATCGACCATGAGCCGCTGGAGGGATGTCCCTCGTGGGTCCCGGACTGGAGCAAGCCTCGAGAGACAGCGGCACTTGGATATGAGAGCTCGAGTGCTAATGTGTACAATGCTTCTGGTGCGGATAAGGTGTACAAGTTCCTCAAACATCCGACTGATTATCAAATTGTTGGGCCCAACAGCAACGCACTCCACATTGAAGGCAAGGTGTTTGATACCATTGCCGTCATGAGCGATGTCCTTTCAGGCTCCGATATTGTCCTGCCTCTGTCGGCCAACAAGGACTGGATTCATTGCATCGAGTTTGTTTCCAGTCAATTTGAAACAGCCTACCCCTCTGCCCACGGCTCGGTCTTCACGGCCTTTTGGCACACAATGGTTGCTGGCAAGGCCTCGAGCGGCATGCACCCCTGTCCGGACACTTTTGCAGAAATATTCTCCCTGTTGCTCGACGAGACTACTGGAAGATCACCTTCTTTGCCGGGACAGACGTATTCGCCGAGGCAGATGCGACCACTTGGGAAGGGAAAGTTGACCATCGCTTCTTTGGAGTCGAGGCAGCCGAAGAAGACGTTTGAAGAGATAAAAATGGCTATGAGGAAGCCGCTGAAAGGAAGGAGGTTGGTAAAGACTGAGAGGGGGTATTTGGGATTGGTCCCGAGATATTCGCGAGTGGGAGACAAGATTGGGATTGTGAAGGGGTGTTGGATGCCTTATGCTTTGAGGGAGGATATATCGGGGGAGGGGTGGAGCGTTGTGGGTGAGACTTTTGTTGAAGGGGTCATGAGGGGGGAGGAGGCAGATGGTATGGATAAGATTGTACTTGTCTGATGGGCAGGGGTGATTTCAGTCGAATATCTCCCAAGACATATTACACCACACGGCGCTCGAAATTCTGATTTGACAATAAACAAAGATACATTTGCTGTTTTGTCCCCTTTACGTCCTAGCTAATAGTTTCAGGTCAAGCAAAAAGATATCGCCTAGAAGAGCCTCCTTCAACAAATTGAACCCTTTTTGGTCAATATTCTTGTCAAAAGAACAGTCAATGTCTACCTGGTACTTCGGCAGGGGCTAGATAACGGCGATCGTATGTGGTGAGCCCGACTGATGACCACCATCATGAGGTTGGCCTTGACCCTTCGGCCTGAAGCCGGGGTAGGTGATCAAAATATGTACGTATGCGTGATAGTACAGTTTATATTGGGAGTTTTGAGAGCCAACAGATGCCCACGCAACGGCAAGCTTATTCAAGGGGAGCCAACCTTCTACTTACATGTGGCGCAGGCCCAACGTGGGGTCGCCCCAACTTCATCTCCTACCTACTCAAGTCGATCTTCCATTGTTAATCATCTTTAGTCTCTACCATCGCACAACAACACAGACACACCGACAGGTTTATGTCATCCAACGCCGCAAACATGGATGAAGCTACGTTAAAGTCACTGTCAGAGATGATGAAGCGGCGCGCACATCTCGACCACAACTCTCGCTTTGCCTTCTCCGCGAGACAGAAAAAGACAACCCACTACGCCCTGTTTATCCACGCCATGAAAAACGTCCTCTCGACCGAGATGGCTCAGTTCACCTACGCTCAAATCGTCGACGGTCTTCCCATCAAGGATGTGGCCTGGGACCGCCGCATCCCCGCCGTCCATGGCATACATCCCATCGAGCACCACCCTGAACTCTGCCCCGGCGCTCTGGACTTTGCCCGCGAGTACAAGGACGTGCTCGACTTTGACCTCCTCTCTTTCCCCCGTGGGTTGATCAACGCCTACGTCCAATCCACGCCTGGCAGCAAGGTTTTCGACTCGCGCCTCATCGAGCTTGTTGCGACGGCCTTGAATGAGATAGGTGTGATCCTGTTCAACTTTGATATTGGACTTCATCAGGGGACGGGAGATCGCTCGGCGGAGGCGATTACCAATTGGAAGGATGACCCGGATGAGGAGACGCTGCCTACCATGTTTCACCACCCTTACTATTTACATGGTGATATCTTACCCCTTGGGCGTGGCGAACATGGTGGGCTACTGGGCGGAAGACAGGATTCTGGGAGGTGTGGTGACGTTTGACCGGAGGACGAAAGAACAGAACCCTGCTCAGCCGCCCAATGTGTATATTGTTCCTAGCCGGGCGGGGACTACGTTCAAGTACTGGCAGTTGTTGGATAGTCAGGAGGAGGGGTTAGTTGGTTTTCACTTGAAAGAGGAAAACGCTGGGGAGGGCCCGCTTCCGTTAATGTGTACCGAGGAGAACAGAGTCAGGATTGATGAAAGGTTCGCGGTTGTGCCCAGGGGGGTGTATAGGGATGTTTGGGAAAGGTTGCCGCCTTCGGAAGGGCATATGAGGCACATGGACCAGAGGCCTAGGGGTGATGGGGATTATCCTGAGGATGGGACGGTGGATTTCATGAAGGCTATTAAGGAGATTTATGGGGGGTTGGGAGAGGAGGAAGTGAATGATCACGGGTCCTCAAGCTAGACGTGGCCCGTTGTAGCAATGACTGCCATAGAAACAGATGCAACGGTGTTGGTTGTGTTTATTTGAGTTTTAAAGGGCGGGAATTGGATGTCTTTAAGTGAAGCATTCCTGGCAAGAATCAAAGAACACGATATGACAGGGTATGCCTGCCTTGCCCCTGAAGAGAAGTTTCCAACCGAGCCATGATATCCACACAACCCCGTTCCTATTACTTGATAGATCTTGTTTTCCTCAACAGATTCCATCGAAATCGGAAACCACACTCTCCAAAATCGGGTATGGTGTAGCGGTAACATCGTTGACTCTCACTTCTCAGAAGTGTCTGTTTAGATTCAGTTCTGAAATCTCTCAACAGCCCCGGGTTCGACTCCCGGTATCCGAGTCCCAATTATATTTTTGCAGATTTTGTTTTCTACATATTTTGGCGTGGCTGTCTTGTTTATATAGGTTCCATGTTTGCAATAGACAAACATGAAGAGAGGAAGAAAATATTTTGCGCTGTGGTGGGTCTGGGACAGAAGTCGTCTTGAGCTCACGATCTAAACATGGTGTTATTGAAAGGCCGTGTAGCGCAATGGTAGCGCGTTACTTTCCGGTTTCAACCTGTGTGAACAAGTTAAATCTCCAGCTGGTAAAGGTTCTGGGTTCGAGTCCCAGCATGGTCGTTCTTTTTGGCTGGGTGTGCATTGTGTATTTTCTTTTTGTGCCTGGGGGGTATGGTATATATAGCCTTGTTGTGATAAGTGGCTACATAGGTGGCCTCGTTATAGGGACAGGCCTCGGCCCCCGAGCTTGTTTCGTAAGCTCCACCCCCTGTTTTTGTGTCTTCTCTCTTCAAGAAACGAAACCCTTGGCTGACGAGTATAACATTCTATGTAGGCTGAGGGTGTAAGAATGAGAAAATTAGGGGATTTTTCAAGATGGATGTAAAACACAAGCACAAGAAAACTAAAGAAAAAAATGCAAAAGCCATCCTTGTAATAAAAATCATTGCCCATTGATTATGTCGCAATAGCAAAGCTAACTGCGTGACCGATTTCGCCCATGGACCATGTCTCTCTCTGCTGTATAACTCCTCGATGCCGCCTGCCTAAAGTACCGCCATTAAGCCACCTCCCTTTTCCGAATTCTCACTCTAAAATCACCCCCCTTCTCAATCCCCATCATCCCCACCCCGGGCCTACTATCATCCCCCTTGGGCATCCACTCACCGCAACCTTCCCCCGCCAGAACCTCAAAGTCAAACCTCCTCACCATCAACGCCACCGCCTTCTTGACCTCCCTCTCCGCCAAGTACCTCCCCGGACAGATACTCTTTCCCCCACCAAAAGCCCTCACCACGCCCCTCGCTGAAGCCGGTAGCGTTTCCCACCTCTCCGGCTTGAAGACCTTGGCATCCTTCCCAAAGATCGTCTCATCAAAATGAAACACTCTGTACGGTATCAACACTTTTGCCCCCTTGCGCAAGAGGAACGAGCCAGGGGCGGGGAGGACGGTGTCGGCTGTCACGACGCGGGCAGAGACCGAGTGGCTTCTGAAGCGGAGGACCTCGAGGTAGAAGAACTCAAAGGTGGGGCAGTTACCCGGAGTGAGGAGGTAGGAAGGATCGGTCAGCTCGTCGCCGGTGAATGCCGGGCTGGTTTCGGCGCGGATTTTGTCGAGGTAGGGTGCCGGTGAGGAAAGGAGGTGGGCGAGGCACCAAAAGAGAAGTTTGGGCGTGTTGGTGTTTGTTCTGTCAGACAGAAAATTGTTAGCGGGGTGATGGTAGGGGAAGAGGCCAGGATTTGGTGTTGCGTACGCAAGATAGAGCATCAGGAAGAAGACCGCCTTGTCTTGGTCTCCTACTTCTAGTTTGTCTAGAGCGAGTTCAAAATTGGGGGTGAACCAGCTTGGGTTCTGCTTGTCTCTCTCCTCTTTGGGCAGGGCCAAATAGTGTTTGAACTGCGCTGTCAGTTTCTCCTTGATGGCGGTTAACGCTGGAGCTAAGAACGGAGGAAACAGATACAAGTCCCTCCAGTGGAGCTCGTCGTAGATGCGAAAGTCGTGGGCCACACCGGGATGGTTTCTGGCAAGGACAGGACCAAAAAAAGCATTCTCGCCGGCGCGGATGAAGACCGTGTTGATGAACTCATAGAAATTGACTTCAAGACCATTTTGAACTAGGGAATACTGCTGGAGATTTGGGATGGTCAAGTGGGTCTGCAGCCATGAGAGAATGGTCTGATCGAGCGAGGGTAAATTGTTATTCTCTGAACTCGGAGATAGTTGCGTGGTGTGCAGCTGCCGGTTCAGATGCTCGAAATGCTTGTCCTTCATAGGGTGCTTGAAGTGGTCAACTTTGGCATCAAGAATGTCTGGGTCGAGGTTGTAGGTCTTCGAAATACCCCCCGGGCTCATGCCAGTGGCTTTGACAATATCGACTGAAAATTCGACAAATGAGAAGTTTTGGGTGTTCCTGGACAGTTCGGCAATGTGCTTAGGGTGGGAGATGACGTAGAAAGTTGTTCCGGCTGCTTGAAGAGCGAAGGGCTGGCGGTTGCTGCCCGACAGCTTGTTCCTTGTCTGAGCGTCAGTGTGGTTCCATAGTGGAATTTAAGGTGATCGGAAAGCATACCATCCTTTCGTCAAGACAGCAGTGGAGTTCAAGAATAATGAGACTGCATGGCCAATGACTTTTCTGGCGTCAGCAACCGGACTCGAAGAATTTTTCGAGCAGACAAGACTCACAAGGAATCGTGTATGGCAGCTCTCTTGGGTCGTTGGGCCTTGTTAGAGGCAGCAGTGTGAACTTCCACACACGCCATGTCATCCAGGCAATGAAGAGCAGCAGAGTGCCCGAAAGAAGCGACATCTTTCTCAACTGATGGTCGCGGTTGTCGAATGTCTTGATTTCCTGACGCTGACGTCTGCAGCTGTTGGCTGCGGATGAGGGCTGCTGATAGTTGCTGGTTGTTGCAGCTCACTGCTACTGGTTGTTATTGCGATTGGACCACTCAGAGTGGTGGAAAATTTCAACCTGAAAGTTTCAGATGACACTCGGCACACGTTGATAAAGATTCCGAGCCAGCGAATAGTGTGAAAGGCCACACCTTTCAATTGCTCCAAGAAATCCCAAGCGTGGGATCTTGAGCCTTGGTCCGATGTCAAGACCGCTGCTCTCGAAGACAGCCCAGAGGCAGCCCAGCCAATGGTCTTACACCGTTTTGATAGATGTGGGTCCGGTCGCCTGAGACCCTCAGGGTTGTCGCAGGATTGATGACTGAGATCAGATGGCTCATCAAACACGATCCGACGAAAGCTTCCTGATAGTTGCGAGGACACACTCAAGTGAGACGTTTATTAATTGTTTGGGAGCGTCTTGAAGCTTTGATCATCGAAGATGTTGATGGACGGATACTAGTTGTCTCGATGTGGTAGTTAGGTGTAGCTGGCTGGCACCAGAATTGGGCAGAAGCAGGTGTAGGCCTGAGCAGCAGTACAAAGCATTGAAGTGAATTGAACAAAATATTGAAAGCAAATGACGGGAAAGAGCACCTGGGAGAACAGGTGAATTAGGTTGTGGGGACGGAGAAAAAGGCGGAGAAAGAGGCGGGGAAAGAGCCACCGTGAGATTGAGATCCAGAGCAGCGTCCAGCTTACAGTACAGTACGTCTGTACTCATTCACCAAATTCCATCTAGGAATAGCTAGAAAGAGAAAGATTCCGACCATTTCAATCATGAATGAGAGTATGCCAAAATGTAGGGTCAAAGTCAAAGACAAACAAGTTGCTGAAAAGGCCTCAAACAACAACGTCTCTTGACACAGGTGTTGACAAGACAGACATCCACATCAATTTAAATTCCACTACATCATGAGTAAAGATTCAAGGTCCTTCAAATTGTCATCCACGTGGCTGTTAGCAGCAGGGGTACCAGCGAGGCTCCATGGTGGTAGCTTGCACCAAATATCCCGTGAGTCTGCTCTTGCCTTCTCACTAAGTACTGACTGATCTTTTTATTTTGTGTGTTGTGATTCTATGGCCATAGCTGTGCAGAGAGGTGAGGTATACGCATACAACATCACCAAACATAATAACAACATCACATCACGTCTAGACCAAGGACAGCAACGATAGCAGCGAATCACTGTGATCACTTCTGTGACCGTGCAGTTGAAAAGAAAGCCATTACATTCCTCCCGAGCCTGCTACCACATTGCGGTCCTCCCCCTTCTCCTCTTCTCTTGCCACATGATTTACTTTTGTCCATCCAGCTCCAGCCTCATATCCCCCCCATCATAAGCAGCTGTCAAAACATGGTATCCCCATTGCCTCCATTTTCACCAAACAATTTCTCCATACCCCATGCCCTAGTCATAGTGACTAGCAGAGTACATCTCCGAGCTAGTCGGCTTCTTGGGGATCGAATCAGGAAGGCAGGCCTTGCTGTTGTTTTCTTTCAACTTGCCCGAGGCGCCATCAGCTGGGGTACCTTTGCCGGTGTTGTCGCCAGCGGCAACGCTGCTATTGCTCTCGGTGGTCTGCGTCTGGTCATTTTGTTAGTGCACTGCTGTTGGCACACAGAGCACAATGTCCTTACAGTGTTGGGTGTGGTGGTCTTCTCACCCTCCTCCACCTGGGCGGCAGGAGAAGTCGTAGACTCGGTCGTCATTTTCGTTTCTTCTTTTTGAGTCTTGAGAAAACGAGGAAGATGGCCAAGATTGGGTTGATCGCGAATGAGTTGTACTTTCAGTAGAGCTGCGACTTCAAAGTCGGAGAAAGACGTCGATGATTTAGTTCTTGCGGTCGCGACGCCAAGGTTGAATAGAGATGTGTGCCTTGCTTAGAAAACGCGACCTACAAAAAAATAACCTCGCGCATCGACAATCAGTCGAAAGCTTTGAGGTCAGGCATGTAACCTCTGAGACAAAGAAAAGGAAAGTTGACCGCCTGCCACCCAAGAGCTTGCCTTGCCCCAGAATCCTGAAACCCCATCAAGCTTCCCAGCTACCTACCCTCCCGAGTCACGAGGTCAATCTGTCTGCTGCGTGACGCTGCTGGTCCCATCTCGAGCGAGCTCACCGAACACAAAATAAGGGTACTCGCCGGAATCACGCTTACTAGTGCCACGTCAATACTTAACTAACAATGTAATTGTATCTTTTCATCTTGTGTCTCATCTCCTTTTGCTCTATCAAAAACCGACAACTGTTTACTCTGCTACTTGATACATTTCCCATTCGCAACATCAAATCCTGATCTGGCCACCCTATTCAGGCACATACCACGTGTCTTCGTGGAAGTCTTCGCCAACCATCCAGTCTATCTTTTTCTATTTCCCCCCTGATAGTGTATTGTATATTTTTTCTGTATCATCCCAGCTAGACCCCCCATGCGAGCGAG